GGACAAGGGGGGGAGGGGGGGGTCTGAAAATCCATCATTTGGCCGGACATCCTTTGTGAATGGCCCCTAACCTATTAAAACAACCTATTTCTTATGGGTATAAACCAACCCATTTGTAATGAATTTTTTTCTGCGTTGGTGTTGTGTACTCAGGTGAATAATATGTTTGCGATGTTACTCTGAGTGCATATCCACACCGGGCGAGCTTGAAAAATATGCCCGGCCACGGTGGGATTCGAACCTACGACCTTTGGAATACTAGCTCAATGCTCTTCCAACTGAGCTACGCGGTCAGGACGGTTCCCGTGGCCGGGCATATTTTTCAAGCTCGCCCGGTGTGGATATGCACTCAGAGTAACATCGCAAACATATTATTCACCTGAGTACACAACACCAACGCAGAAAAAAATTCATATCACAAGAACACATTGGTATTGAAGGAACTAGATACTGTTCCGAAATATCACTTACTCGAACCGTCCTGACCGCGTAGCTCAGTTGGAAGAGCATTGGGCTAGTATTCCAAAGGTCGTAGGTTCGAATCCCACCGTGGTCTGGCATATTTTCCAAGCTCGCCCGGTGTGGATATGCACTCAGAGTAACATCACAAACATATTATTCACCTGAGTACACAACACCAGCACAGAAAAAAATTCATATTACAAAAACACATTGGTATTGAAGGAACTAGATACTGTTCCGAAATATCACTTACTCGAACCGTCCTGAACGCGTAGCTCAGTTGGAAGAGCATTGGGCTAGTATTCCAAAAGTCGTAGGTTCGAATCCCACCGTGGCCGGGCATATTTTTCAAGCTCGCCCGGTGTGGATATGCACTCAGAGTAACATCGCAAACATATTATTCACCTGAGTACACAACACCAACGCAGAAAAAAAATTCATATTACAAGAACACATTGGTATTGAAGGAACTAGATACTGTTCCGAAATATCACTTACTCGAACCGTCCTGACCGCGTAGCTCAGTTGGAAGAGCATTGGGCTAGTATTCCAAAGGTCGTAGGTTCGAATCCCACCATTTGTAATGGTTTGTTTTAACCTATTTATTTTCAGCCGGTTCTTTTAACCTATTGAAATAACCTATATTTATCGGGTTGTCCTAGACCAAACCAAATAACCTATTTTTTTTGTTATTTTAACCTATCAGTTTTTACAGTGTATGTATTTATAATTTTTATACCAACCAAATGTAATTCAGTCGTAGGCCTGCAATAATTGAGTTAATAAACGATTCATCTAAATTGTTTTTGCTTATTTTAGGTTGGTTGCAACTTGAAAGAATTATTCTCAAACAAAGGCAACGAACCATTTCTTGTCGCAATTATGGAAGACAAAAAAGTTCGTCAACTCTTCATTGGGGCAGAGAAGAGAGAATTAATGGAGGTTGAGGATAACTCTGTGATAACCGCAATAACTCTGTTGGTCAGTTGCTATTTCGTTTATAACATAGAGTACAAACGAGGAAAAACTTTCATGATTTTTTTGCAAGAGTTTGTTTTGAAAGTTCCTGATCAATCAAAAAAGAATTCCAAATATGCAACATTTTATAAGCAAATCAAAGGTTAAGACGATATTGTTTGGACATATAGATTGTGTAAACTTTTTAAACCGTTATTGCATGTTAATATATATTTATAATTGAAGTTTAAAGTATTTGTAATATATATTACTAATTCATTTAGTTCCATTCAAGTAATATATTTGTTTTATGTTCGTACGTTAATTCAATTGTATTCACTTGGCCTTGTTCGTGCCAAATAGTATAATTATAAACAGTTTGATGGATTTTTGGACTGATAAAATTTAGAATAGTTAATTTTACAATATATATATATATATATATATATATATATATATATATATATATATATATATATATATATATATATATATATATATATATATATATATATATATATATATATATATATATATATATATATGCAGGTAGAGCACGCAAGTAGAAGGATAATGCGTGTTATATTAACATATGTTAGAATTACCTGCGTGTTATCGTGTTCTAAAAATGGACAACAGACTAACACGCGAAATTCGTGTGTTAAACAATACTACGTGTTGTATTAACACGCACAGTTAACGTGTTGATATAGCACGCGTGTTATCGTGTTGTAAAAATGGACAACTAAATAACACGCTAAATCGTGTTATTTCAACACGCTCATTTTTTACAGTGTATAGTTCGAACCCATATTCATATTTATACCATTCTATACCAACCGTACCAATCTATCTACCAGCCAGCCAGACTGTAAAGTATTATTTTTGCGCGGGGAACTTTTCGTCGTAAATGGCAGTTGCGCGCAAATGAAGGCAGAACATTTGAGAAAATTTCAAAATTTGGAGTCTCTAGATGGTCTGAAATGGCATTTTCAGAGTTTCCGCTACCTTTTTTGCAAGGCCCAACACGTAAGAGACAAAATAAATAATCGGTCCATCAACCCATTTTGTAGGGTTTTCTTGAAAATGCGCGGATAGAAATTCAGCTAAAATTTCTGCCGCGCAGGCCAAACTTTACAGACCAGTACCTATCAAACCTTAAAGGAGATTGGCGACGAAAAGTTTTATTCCTTATATCTATTAAACTTACGGTGGCCGACAAGGGCAACACAAATAATTATATGAAACACAAAAATATAGCAGCGAACACGTTTATTAAGCGAAACGTTTATTAAAGGACATCGGCAAAGGATTTTTTCATTGCCTTGTTTTGTTCTCTATAATTGTCTTAGTCAAGATATGTATTTTATTTGCGATGAAAATATATCAATTTGTAGTAAAGAGCGAATGAATTTGGTCTAATTATGCATATCGCCCGCCATTTTGAAAGCGCATTTTGGAAAATTATCTTTCATGTCATTTGAGACCTCTGGCGTCATTGGCATATGAAGTTTTTTAGCGGACAAAATATCTGAAATGTATCAATCGAGTTTATGCGCTATAAATTGATGTTATGTGCTATACATTGATGTTATGTGCAAATACATCGATGTCATAAACCGATACAACTAAAAGATAAACCGATACAACTAAAAGATAAACCGATACAAATAAAAGATGAGGAAACGGAAGTAAATACCAATAAAAGATGAGGAAACGGAAGTAAATCGGAAAAACGGAAGTTGAGCGACGCGGCAAAATTGCGCGCAGGGCGCTTATATATTAGCCTGCTCACAGACGTTGTAGTTCTTACGCCAAGCGACGAAATACTACCGTCTGCTTACCCGAGCGCCAAACTGAATTCCGCTACGTCGACCAATCAGAATTTACCTTCCAAATTCTGGAAAGTGACGTCAGTTGATTTAGGAGCGGAATAAATATAAATATATATTTTGAAAGCAGTCGTCGGTTGAATTTTGGTCAAAATTGCACATAAATTGAATTTAAAGATATTGGTACTTGTCCAGGTAATAAAATGCACCATTAATGATCAGATTTGGATATTAAAGATGTTCGGTTTAATATATTTAAAACGCGGACAGGTTTGGCATATTTATACTGTATGAATCTTAGCCAGACGGCATCAAATGCCGAATATATTTCGCTGAAATTTGAACGGTTTATCTTTATAAGAAAACAGAACTCGGAAGACAGAAAATTTTACATAATACTGTGGCTTAGAAAGCGAAATATTAGCTTCAAAGTAAACTAATTTGCTGTCTGAGCAACCACTTCTGAATGTAAACTGTAAACACAACACAAACCCGAGAAACTTGTATTAAAATTGCGCCGTGATGAATTTTCCAATTCGCCCAAACTTCGAAACGTTTAATGTACTCTAACTTGGCTATACTTTTCTACATGACAATGAGAGCTTAATCTTTTAGAAGTTTTCGTCGAAGTCATGGCATATAGGAAGTATCAAGAGCAACATTTGGACATATCCTGGTTCCCGATTGATTGTTTGTCATTGTTATAAACAAAAATTTAAATTTCACCTACTGCATTGCTTTAGCACTTTATATACACCGATTGTTTGTTGAACATGCGAGAAGATGATAACAATATTATTCTACGTAAACATCGTGAAGTTCAACGCTATAGTTTCCAAAATATATCCACGCAAGTAAACAAATTTCAAGTTTCAACCCAAACAATATATTCCAATGCATGTGCAAGGGCTTTTCCCGGTAGCTAATCTCTCAATATATAAGGCGGCTTCCAATTGGCTCTAATGTTTTTGAACACTGCCAGATGATTGGCTCGGCTAAAACAAAGGGAATTGAATATGCAGCTCGGGTAAGCAGACGGTAGTATTTCGTCGCTTGGCGTAAGAACTACAACGTCTGTGAGCAGGCTACTTATATATAAGTTTATATTAGTTATATATAATTCGTGTGTTCCAAATAATGTGTCGCAGCCAGCCTTTCAGGGATACTGAATTTTACACACATGACTATCTCCTTTTCTCGCCTTATATATTTTACATGCCTGCATACAAGCTTTTTAGTACAGCGAGATCATACTCCTTGAGTATGATCAAATTTTTTTACACCA